AACGGACACAAAGGAGTCTTTTCAGTTTCGATATAACTGGAGGAAAACTCTAGTGAGCACAAGGAGGTCTAATTACCTCTGAAAATCAGACAAATGCAGGGGAAATCTGATTTCCTCCAGAACTTTTGGGTCTTTTCTCAGTTAATCCTGTTGATTTTTAAAAATGTTTTTGACTGTGAGACTGAGAAGTTTTGATAACAGCTGTGTATCTGTGTGTGTGCTTTGTGTGATTGTGTATCCTCCTCACCTGAGCCGGTGGTGGAGGAGCTGCTGCTGCTTTGCAAACCCCCGTTCCTGAGGAGAGACGGGGACTTCTGAATCCCACCGCCGACACCCATGACCCCCAGCCCCCTCTCTCCTCCTCCCATTCCCACTCCCAATCCGCTGCCGGGAACTAAACCAGACCTGCCCAAGAGCACCGAGGAGGAGGGAGCAGAGGCGGTGGAGGAGGAGGTGGTGCTGGCTGGGGAGGAGGTAGGGAGCGTCAGAGAAGGAGCTGGCTCAGAAGGCTTCACGTCTGTGGTGAAGCAGGGTCCAAATCTGTTTCTCCAGTTGCCTTTCTTTTTCTTCTTCACCCCATCTTCAGCTCCTCCTGGAGCTGCAGCAGCGGCGATCCCTAGGCCAGAGCTGGGGGGCGGAGGCCGCTTATAACCCGTTGACGCCACGAGACTCGTCGTCTCACCCGTTGTGTGACTCAGGGAGTTCTCATACAGCTTTCCGCAAACTCCTACAAAGCAAAAACGCAGAATTTAATAACTGAAGTTCATTAGCTTTTATTTCAAACGAGGATTTTTGTCAAACCGACCGACAGCTGGTGAAAATAATGCAGTAAAAAGAGTCAACAAGTCAACTAGTGTGTCACCTGTAGAGGCCGTGGTAGGAGACATAAGAGAGCCAAAGAGGGGCACGGTTCCCTCTGATGCTCCGCCCTCTGAGCTGGGTTTCACAAGGCAACTGCTGAAGGACGGCGGCGAGGAGAAAGTTGTCCCACCACCGGGACGCAGCGATGGATCTGAGAAACTTAAGTAGTCAGAGGAGGAAGGTGCAGCAGGCGTCTTACTGGCGTTGGTCAACAGCAGACCTGGGGGACAGAAAACACAGGTGGGAGATGGTGAACACCTGAAAGACAACCATCTTGAAATAACAGCAGTTACAGCTGAGAAGCTTCTAGAATCCTCTTTAGGGAGGTGCAAGATAAGTCAAACAAGTGTTTTATCTGTTCCTCTGCTATCTCCTCAGCCCTTCCTGACTCTGGAGTCCTCCCGTCTATCAGAGGACACTCTGAAGGACACGAATAGATAGATACTTAAACAGACACAAGTAAAAAAAACAAACTGTTTCAAGAATTTTACAAAAAAACAAAACAAAGGAGGTCAATGCAAACACACAGATGGGGCCCGGATTACAGAGGCCAGTCAAAAAGATACAGGCTCATGCACACACACGCACACGCATGCACGAATCAACAGCTGAGTTCAGTCCTAATTATGATGCTACACTTTGAAATTGTGCTGCAGAGGCAGGTTTTTTTGTGGGTGGGCCGAGTGCTAACAACAGATGATCCATCTTTGCATTTCCATTTTTCTAACTGCAGGGATAATTCCCGCTTGTGGGAAAATTAACATACGGAACCATTTGCTGCCATCAATTCACCTTGATGGAAAGGCCCCGTGGAAGCGGAGGCAGATGTAGAGGAGGTTGCCATGGTGACCACAGCAGAGGGTAGGGGTTTCCCTGAGGAGGTGAGAGACTTGCGCCCACCCCTCGGTCCCACTGTGTGACCCCCAGTGTTCTTCTTATTCTTGACCTCAGATGCCGTCTTGCTTGCGTCGGCGGCCAAGCCATCCTTGGAGCTGCTGCCCGAGTGAGCAGATGACACTTCCTGAAAGTTGGCGTTGGTGAACCGGGCTGCGTTCTCATCCAATCGCTTCTGCGAGGCAGCCGGCAGAGAGGTTACGCCTCCCCCGGAGGTGCTGCTGTTGTAGGTCTGGAGGAGGAAGGTGGAACATTAAAAAAAGGTGAAAAGATGAGGAAGGGAGTGCAGGAACCATGAAAAGCACCGGAAAAGGGAGAAAAATTATCACCGGAGGAGAAAGACAGGAATAAAATTTGGGGAGAGGAAGCACAGATGTGTGGGAGAATAAGTAAATACATAAATAACCACTCAAGCCATTCATAGTCTAATATTTAACCCAAGTGGATTAATGAGAGGAGGGCAGATAGGCCTCACCTTGTCTGGGACCATGATGTTTGGGAGAATGAGCGAAGGAGACATGTCCATCGTGCCTTTCTTATGTTTCGGTTTGTGTCGGTCTCGCTCCTTGTGTTTCTAAACGGGTTTGTCAAACAATGGAGACATTCAGGAAAACAACAGACACAAAAATGTATTAAAAAATATGACTTGAAGGCTTCGAGTAGAAATAAAGAAGAGGAGTATGTTTGTGAGAGAAAGAGAGGGAGAGGAAGAGAGAGAGAGAGAGAGAGAGAGAGAGAGAGAGAGAGAGAGAGAGAGAGAGAGAGGGGGAGAGAGGGGTGGGGGCATGCTGCTTTTAAAAGACTCCATCCAAGATTAAAGCCAGGGCAGCCACAAAAACAAAAAGAGTGATGAATAAGAGATAAAAAGGGGCATTTAGCATCCTCCTGTATAGAGAAGAGTGCATCTAAGTGCCTAGCGCTGAAGTGTAAAGGGTCTTCTTAGTTCAGCCAATCACATCATTCCTCTTGGACAATCAAAGAACAATTTACACTGTTACCAACACACACTGACACAGCCACCCTCCTCTCGCACCCGAGGTGGAGACTGGGTACCAGCACATTTACACCTCACATGCACAACCCCATCCACTCACACCTCTTCACATATGCATTTGTGCAGACGGCTGCACAAACTCTTTAATCTGCACATTTCAGGACAAAAGGTGATAAAAAAAATAAGCACTGCTTGAGGAAAACTCAAAGTTTGTGACGTTCGCCATACTGGATTAATAAGAACTAGCAGGACCCACCTCCCTCCTCAGGGTTGTGTTGAGGACCGAGGAGGCTTGTGACAGTTTAGCCAGACTTCCTGCACCAGTGACAGTTAACAGACGAGTCGGGAGATTGCAGCTCAGCTGCACGCCGGCTTCCGCTATGCTAGAGGGCAGGACTTAGAAGCTGTGTCTGCCATTCAGATGAGTCAAATGTGCTTTATGAGTGACTTCTAAACAATAATTCTGCTAAACAAACGTCACTTAAAAGCAGTGTTGCCAGTTACATTGAAATAGTAATCTGATTACTGACTACTAATTACTCCTTCCAAATGTTACTTAGTTACTTTACTGATTCATTCATTCAAAAAGTAACTAAGTTAGATTACACTTTACTTTATTAGTTACTTTCAGCATCTACCAAAATCCCTTTCCACTGCCTCAACATAAAAACTACAACAGGTTTTGCCAACACTCAATTTATTGCAAATGCTTTTTAACAGTAATGTCGACAACGTATCTTCTTACATTTTAAGTTGAACTTAAACTTATTGCCTGACATAAAGCATGTTTGTATAAAAATAAAATAAAAACAGTCTTTCTTGAAATAAATAGTATTCATAAAAAAATAAAACACACAGAGCCAGCACAGAGTGTACAACGAACCGTAAGATTTTCATCTTTAGCTGATACAAACCCAAAATACTTTATTATTATTTTTCCAGCTAGAAAACGCACCTCTCTCTCCTCCCACCATTGTTGATCACGCTGTTGTACAGGGGTTGGCAACCTTTTCCCATCAAAGAGCCATTATTACCCGTTTCCCACAGTAAACACTGGGAGCTGCAGCAGCCGCGGCGTTGTGGGCGGGGCCTACCCTAAGACAGCCGAGAGCTGCTTTAACCGACCACAACAGGTGACAGCAACCAATACCATTCACTCATGTACCTTAAAAGTTATCTTTCAACAGAAGATAATAAATAAAACAGTTTGTATAAAACTGACCCAGAACTTGTAGCCCGTCTGTGTTGACAGTACTTAGATATTTTTCACCCTGTTAGTGGTTTTAATGTTGAGCAGGTGACGCTTTTTGACGCGTCACACACGTCTCCTCTTTAAAACATTTTTAAACTGTTCAGAATACAAATCCAGGCTCTGTCTCGTTGGATTGTTGTAATTAAACTTTGTGCTGAAATAAACTTTACATGAAACATTGTTGAAAAGGTAAGAAAACGATCCGATCTATTTGTTTTTGCCTCATTTATGTTTATGTTTATGTGCTTAGCAGACGCTTTTACCCAAAGCGACTTATAATTTTTTTTAACCTATAGGGCATGTTGTGATCTGTGGGGGAAACCGGAGTACCCAGAGGAAACCCACGCATGCATGGGGAGAACACGCAACTCCACGCAGAAAGGCTGCAGCCGAGTTTTGAACCTGCGACCTTCGTGTTGCGAGGCAACAGTGCTAACCACTACGCCACCATGCAGCCATTTACAGAGATGGAGATAACAGCGTATTGCACGGCTGTGGTGTTAATCAAGTTTAATGTTCCTGTTTACAACAATCTTCACAAGAAGGCAAAACTGTTAAATGACAGGGTTCACGATGACTGGACGGATGGACGGACACCCATCCATCCATCCATTTTCATCCACTTATCTGGAGTCGACCACTTATCCGGAGTTGAGGCGCGGGGGCAGTAGCCTAAGGCGAGAGGCCCAGACTTCCCTCTCCCCTGCCACTTGGGCCAGCTCCTCCGGGGGAATCCCAAGGTGTTTCCTGGCCAGGTGAGAGACACAGTCCCTCTACCGTGTCTACCTTTAGGTCTCCTCCCGGTTGGATGTGCCCAGAAAACCTCACCAGGGAGGCGTCCAGGAGAAATCCTGTCCATAAAGGTTATGAACAGAATCGGTGACAAAGGGCAGCCTTGGCGGAGTCCAACTCACTGGGAACGAGCCCGACTTACTGCCGGCAATGCGGACCAAGCTCTGACACCGGTCATACAGGGACCTAACAGCCCATATAAGCCCGTATGAGTACCCCCCACAGGGCCCCCCTCCAGGATCCCCCTAAGGGTATAGAGGTGGTGCAGTGTTACACGGCCAGGACGAAAACCACAATGCTCCTCCTGAATCTGAGGTTCAACAATCCGACGGACTCTCCTCTCCAGAACCCCTGAATAGACCTTACCAGGCAGGCTCAGGAGTGTGGTCCCCCTGTAGTTGGAACACACCCTGCGGTCCCCCTTTTTAAATAAGGGGACCACCACCCCGGTCTGCCAGTCCAGTGGGACTGCCCCCGATGTCAACGTGATATTGCAGAGCCGCGTCATTATGGCAGTATGACACTGAGCTCCGCGCAGCTCGCTGTCAGCGCACACGTAAGATGCTAACAACAAGCTGAAGATGTGTAGATCGGGGGCTTGGAGCACGTTGCAGAATCAGAGCCATGCGGGAAGGCTCCTCTCACTGAAGCGAGTGTTTTCCAAACCCTGTCTCTCAGAGAGACTTGTCACTTAGAAAATGTTCCCTGATTATGAAACATTGGCTGAATAGCGCTTGTTCCCGCCTCCAACGTCCATGAGCCTGTTTGAGGAAAAGTCCAAAATCTCATATCCTCCTCTTCAGCTCAGAAAGCTCCTATAGACATCTGATTACGCACAAGCAGGTGACCTGTCAACCGTTGGACCTGTTCAGTTTTACGCAGACTATCTTTACATTTAGAATTGGCATACAGATAAAAATGAATGCAGTAAAATAAAATATATTTTAATGAAATATTCATGAATTATTTTACAAGCAGAGAGCCGCATCATCAGATAGATGACAGAGCCGCATGCCACTCCAGAGTGCATTATGGGTAGCCAAGGGTAGTCTTTATTGTGCGTTTTGTTGGGATTTAATTGCAGGGTTGTGTTTGATGTTTGTCATTTATTCAGTAATATTACTGTGCTTTTTTTGTTGGTTTTAATTTTGCACCACGAGTGAGAGTTATATTCCAACAAATGGCATCGCGGTGCCGTTCCATTGTTTAGTGAAGCGGTGCAATGCTTCACATATGCAAGGAAAGAGCGCGTTGATTGGTCAAATACGTTATGCAAAGCTGATCTTGGCTCCTCCTCAGCCATGTTTCATTTCTTCAACTCAGGATTTTCCTAAGCAGAAAAAATTCAGAGTAAGGGATAAAGTAACGCAGAATGTCTTGGACAAGTAACTTTAATTTGATTACTTATAAGGAAATAGTAACGCGTTAGATTAGTCGTTACAAGAAATGACGTTATTCTAGAGTAATGCGTTACTGGCATCACTGCTTAAAAGTCGGTTAAACTTCTAAAAGTACAATAATGTTTATTTTATGCTTAGATCTCTGTGTCTTACAACTAAAAATTAGTGCGTGCCCAAAGGAGCTTTTTTCATTTTGAACTTTCAAGGGTCTCTCTACAATCCAAAAACAGCTGCTTTGAGCCAGATAAGTACATTCTGATGTCACGGAGGAGGTGTGCCAACTTTGATGTGCTTGGTGCGCTTTCACCTGTGTCAGGTGGCTTGAATGAGGTTGGGATCGAATGGTTCTGTTGACCATATGCTTGTAAACGTACACACATTTATAGCAACTGCCATTCTACCAGTGAACATGAATGTCCAACTAAGTTTGTGTGGCACCTGATGGCGAAACGTTAGTTTCTCCAAGCTTTAGCCTACTGCGGCAACATTTTGCTCAAGATTCCGCCGCAATACTGAAATTTGGAAACTTGGGGTGTTTATTGGTAAGAATGTTGCCATTTCAAAGGACAGGACTAACAATAGGTGATATTAAAATCCAGTGTAATCGTGAGGTCTCGTTCTGTCAGGTGGAAGGCTGTAAAGACTGCTGATACCTTTAGCAGTCAGGGATTTAAAGTGGACCACACAAAAGAAGTACAGTAAATGTTGCATGTAAAATCTAAATAAGTTGTTTGTAAATTCTGATTCAGTATCATAGCACAAAATATTGCAATATTTCCATTTATCAATGTTTTCTCGCATCCCGTTTGGAAACTTAGTATGGTTCTGACCAAGCTAAAAATGGTTGTAACCAATTCAAAGTTCTTGGGTCATCCTGTGTGTAATGTCCAGAAATGGTCACTTTTCACCTATGGTACATATTGACCTAATGCCACTGGTCATCTCCAGACCTAATTCTTTCCTCTAAAATGGATTTTACAAGCCAGAAGAATACTGCAACCTTGTTGACATTTCATCACAGTAAATATTAGTTAACTTGTCATGTTTCAATTGTTTGAAAAATAAATTCTTAATTTTTATAAACCTGACTCTTTCCTTGAATCAAGACGAAGTGTTCTACAGTCTCTGAATAAACA